TTATTTATTTTTCAATAATGTTGTCAGACACTTTTTATTCCATATTAGCCTGTTAGTCCCAGAAACAAGCACTTTAAGTTGACGCGTATTGAAAAGGTGAATTGAATTGCAGCCCGTAATAATCGACCAATTTAAAAAGGATTGTCCCTGTCACTTACTTAGGCCCCAAAACATTGGAAGATAGTGTCCAAGGTTCTAAAAACACTAAAGGTACCTTTTAAGGAAGAACTTTGCACACTTAAGATGACAGCATTACCAAATGGCTGAGCGCCAAACGGCTGATAAATGAGCCAGTGATTGTGAAGGATGAAAAAAGACACTGATGCTAATGCAACCATGATTTTGGTGCTATGCCTATGAAACATGTCCTCCATTTGTATTGGACTCGAATCATCATTACACTTGTGGAAAAGGACGTTTTCTACTGCTTTGCGTTTTTTTTGGCACCACTTTCCCAATAAGACTGTATTGAGGGATTATAAGTTCTATCTACTTTTATAAACATGTAGGCAAGCATTTGTCCACTGAGCGATAGCAGACAGCTCTAAGACAACTGTTAGGTTGAAAGAGTATGAGAATCTGTTCGCTGGTTTTTGTTTTTTCTTACCTTTTGGTAACAGCTGAGTATGTGGCCAAAATCCATAGATCTACATGAGGGTTATTGATTTAATTTTACATTTAAGCACGTCAATGCTCTTAAAATCTGAAACCATGAAGTAACAACAGGGACCGACTGCATTCGTAAAATGTTGATAATCCTGCTTCATCACTCAACCCATAATTAATGCGGCCCACTCAAGAAACATGTTTTTCTGAAACAAAACCCTCTTCACAAATTACTTCTGCTGCTGGTATTTGGAGTGCGGGAGGTATTTTTCCAATTTTTTTGCAGAGACAAGCTGCTAGGTTTTGCCGTGTCTCTTCAAAATACAATGACGGGCTGCATGCATACATATTAAAAACCTCTCTATCTGGAGAGTGGAGAGCTGGAAACAAAACAAGTGTAGATGTATAAGAGCAGGGTCCACAGGGGCCAGGGTCCTGATTCATTCTCAATAATTGTAATGTAATGATAAGGAGCTTATAGCCTCTTGTTATATGCCAAGAGGGACGAAGAAAACAAAAGCCGGTGTACCAGTACGCTTAAAGATTACCATTCTGATGACATCTCTGCGTCCACTTAACACCCACATCAGGTCAGCTGCTCTTAATTTGGTCAAAAACGATTTGGCCTCCATGCGGGGGTCTGGGTGCACTGAGGGGTAAATATTGACCCTTGTTTGTAAGCAAGGCTCACATTTTGAGTGTGCAAAATGACGTTTTTGTGTCCTTGAGATGTTCAGGTCATCGTGTCACGGAAGATGTGTATCACAATCTCATTGGCTGAGAGAGAGGATCTAATAGACACCTGCCTTCATTATAGGGACTGGTGGTGGTTATCATTACACGATTGACTGAGCTCATTTGAATGATGCTGAATAAAACAACAATAAGCATGATTATCAAAGAGACCATTTCTTACATTAGGTGCTCAAGACAGAAATATGCCTACGCTGTTGATACAGTATATTAGAGATGATAACATTGATGACACACAGCACCCCGATGTCCAATTAATTTACATTTCCAGATCAAAAACTCTCCTCTTGAATTCTCGCCCCGGGCACTGAGTCCGAAATGACCTCTACCCTTTGTCCCAAGGACACTGCCCTGACCTTGCCCCCCCCCCCCCTCCACACAGGCCTGTCTAAACTCTGTGGGAAACCCCCCCAGTGCTTTGTGTTGGTTCGGACATTGTGTGTCTCACCAGATAATGTCTCCTCCCCTCTGGTTCTGTCCTCGCCCCTCTGAGGAGCCATTGTGTGGAGCGTGTTGTCCGTGCAGCGGAGTGAGG